CGGCTTTCCGCGGCTTCCCCATCCCCGCGGACCCCGCATCGGATCGTGAACGTTCTGAGCGGTTTCCCCTCCCCGCGGCTTCCCCCTCCCCGCGGCTTCCCCCGCGGACCCCCCTCCCCGCGGACCCCCCTGCCCCTCACCCCCCCTCGGAGCTCCCTAGTTAGAACCCGCCTATTATATCTACTTAGATGGTCGGAAGAGCCTCACTGCGCAGCGCCGACGCGCGATCGCGTTCTGGGCGCGTTTCGGCGAGGGAGGGAGCGAGCGAGGAGCGAGCGACCGACCGAGCGAACTTGCCGCGCGCGCCGATCGTGGCGATCGCCGCGACGTTTCTTTATTTTTATTTTTTTGAGAGAGCGCTACGGCGTCGTTCTCTCTCTCTGTCATAATCGCTCGTGGATCGCGCGCGCACGTCGCGCTTCGCTCGCTGGATATTTATTTTGTTTATTCGAAAGTACAGCCCGCGAGCTCGCGTAGTTCCCGTGGCGATCTCCGACGATCCTTCCCGCGCTGTCGAGAGAGAGCTGAGGGGTGATGAAAAGGAAAATCGCGACTCTTTGATGTGCGTTTCGTACACACACACACACATATATAACGACAACGTCCGCTGCCGGTCGTGCGCTCGATGGATGACGCTGTAGATCTCAGCCGCCGTCGTTGCGAGATCGTGCGGCGTTTTCGATTCGCGCTGCCTCGCCCGTTCTCCTCAGGATGAACTCTCCGAGTTGGCGAAGAGTCGTCGAGCTCCGCGCGAATCCCGTGGCTGACCGCGCGATCATTTGCTCGCCTCGACGATCGGTCGATTCTCCCCGCGTTGGTGGCGGTTTCTCCTCAGTATCGCGGGTACGTGTCTCGTCGTTCTTGGCGTCGTCGTCGTTCCAGGCGTCGTTCTCCCCCCGACGTGGCGCGTCCCGCGTGGCGTCCGCGCGACGCGGCCGCGCTGCTGGCGACGCAGCAGCCATCCATCCAACACCGGTGATCTCGATCGATCGTCGTCGTCGTCGTCGTCGTCGTGGTGGTCGTCGTCGATCGTGGGGGGACCCGCGACGCGCGCGGGACGTCCGCGTGGACGTCCGTGGGGACGACCGCGGGGACGACCGCGGGGACGCGCGGGAGGACGACCGCGAGTCGCGGGACGGCCGCGGGGACCCGACGATTCCTCGTTCGTGAGGCGAGAGACGCTTCCCTCGACGCGGTCGTCGTCGAAGGGCGAGGAGGACGACGACGACGAGGGCGCACGCGATGGGGATGACGAGGCGGAGAGTCGAGAAAGGAGAGAACGGAGCCGGGAGAGCGATCGTTGATGGGTGGACGAGGCGGGGAAGAGGCGGGGAAAATCTTATTATACATTACAATTTCTAATTTTTATTTTCAATATTTTATTTTTTACTATATAAATACATATTTAATGTTAACTGGTGTAAATTAATTAATTTCTTTAAAAAGTTACTGCGCAATAGCTACTGTGCTGATTCCTATTTACAGCTATTTAAAACTCAAATGTTGATAATTTTTGAGAATCCATTGACTTATATAAGTCATTGACTTACCATAATTATTTTTAAAAAAATTTAGACTGCGTATACATTAATTAATTATAATTGGAATATATAACTATATTAAAAAGTTATTAACTAAAGAAATATTATTTCTAATGTAAAAATAAATAAATAATTATCGAATTATGAGTATAAAATAATTATTTTATTCCAAAAAATACGTATATTCATATGTTAGCAGACCTTTCTTTTATTTTCTTAAATATTTTAGCGTTGTTAGCGTATGATAATGTAATAAAAAATTTCTAAAATTTTTTCATATGAACTTGAACATTTTTTTGTTAAGACAATAATTTGAAAAATTTTGAATATTTTTCAAATTTTTTCAGATTAACATACACGGTAAAAAATTATAAGGTTTAACAATTCGAAATAAGATAAATCAACTTGTTCGCGAATCCGCGGTGTGCCTCGCGGAAGGGCGCAAGAGTCGGCCTGACGAGGCGGGCGGTATGTTCGCAAATCCGCGGTGTGCCTCGCGGAAGGGCGCAAGAGTCGGGCGCAGGACAGAGAAACAGCAAATCGTTGCGTGACGTCACTCGGGCTGCACGCAGCATGATATTTTTCCCAGTCGCGCTCGCACAAACACCCTACGCAAATACGAGACCAAATTTGAGGAAAACAGCTGACAGGAGCTCGGGTTCTGAGTCACCGGTCTCAGCCGTTGTCAAAAACAAGGAGCGGATCAGCTGAGCCATCGCGCCACTGACAAACATTTTTTATCACGTTGCCAGGCAGAATTAGTCACTCGCGAACGCCGCGAAGCCGGGTATAAAAACCCGGGCCGACTGACGCTGGGGGCCACTCGTTTTTAGTTAATCGAGCCAAGCCCGTGTTCGGGGAATACATAATTGGCAACTGTCTTGCATCCGCGCCAGAGCCGCAAGTTTTCCGAGGCACGTTCCTACCGCGACTCAATTCGCTCACAATTTCTTTTCTTTCTTTTGGGTAATTTGCCCTTTCCTTTTTTTTGTAAATATTATACAGCAATAAACGTTTCTTTTTATGTGCCGTGATAAGACTGTGTTGACTTCCGTTCTTCCCGCTCAAAAATCCCGCCACACGCCAATCGCGACGCGAACACCGTTGGAGATAACATTATAGTGGGAAATGCATTTGGCAAAAGAAGGCGTCTCGGATTTATACATTTTCCGGACTTTTGCCTCCTTCCTATGTGAAATAATTGTTCAGTAAAATGGACTGAACATATCCTTGCTGAAAATGATTCCAATTACATTATAATGATGACTTTTTTGAGCCTTATTATTACATTTTTGTTAATATATTTTAATTATAACATATACGTACTATATTTAGAATCTTTATAAGACCACTTACCACTTTCTATATTTAAAGGTAACCTAACTTCTCCGATTTTTTTAAGCCAGCCTTCACGAATTACGTCGTTCTTTGGTAACCTGAAGAAGCTCACTTCTGTCTTACAACTTTTTTCTCTTTTATTTGGGCAAGATTTTACAATGCACCATACCATATTGACCCGCGTTACTCCTAATCTATTTAATAACTCGAAACCACGTGGTTCTACTGTGGATTCTTGCCGAGAAAAGAACACAATATGCACATATAGCAAGGTGTGACAAAGACGCATTCAAATCAGTCGTAGTAACTTAGCGGCATCAAACATTTAATTTTTCACAGTTGGTCAGGCCTTGGGTACTGAACGGTACCTCGACGTGAAAAAGG